CAAAAAGATATTTACATTACAATTCATAACAGTAGCAAAATTACAGTTATAGAGTAGCAACGAAAATAATTTTATGGTTGGGGGTCACCACAACATAAGGAACTGTATTAAGGGGTCGCGGCATTAGGAAGGTTGAGAACCGCTGCTCTAATCCTTTATACTTTCATATATATTATATGAAGTCCCAGAAATTCTTTAGTATTTTAAAATTTATATTAAAATCAACAATAAGTATATCATGCAACAAACTGATTTTTTATTCAACAGTATTTTTGACATAGACCTAATTCACTCAAACTACCACCTAATATTTCACCAAGAACCTATTTTCTCATTGTTTCATGAAAAATGTTTCAAATACATGGAAAAAATAATATAACACACAAGTATACCTGAAATCCATTTTTTTTTGTACAGTGTGAGCTGTACAAATTTAATTATTTCCCACATGGACAGGCAATTATCCCAACACCAATGAATAACTCATCCTTTAGCTACTTGTTAGCTTGGGAATCAGACAAAAGGAAAATCAGTGTCCTCTCAATGTCATCTTGGAGCCCTGTCTAACAGTCCCACTCGAGGAATATTTCATTTGCTAGGGGATATACTTTGTTTGATTTGCTATTTACTATTGATTGAGGCCTATAGTCAGCAAAATTATATGTTAACTTGTAGATTTTTTTTGTCTGATAAACATGCAAATAATTTCTGTCTGGTAAAGTTATGGTTTTATTGCCTTGTAAGAGATTAACCAGTTTTGTATATAACAAATCTTATTCCAACATTCTTTCTTCAGTTCCCCAAATACTCTTGGAACCAGTTTTACCATCTTGATGAATTGAGAAATTAAATCATTGACATGTGTTTATTCTATAATTTTTATACGTTGACATACTGAATAACACTGTAATCTCTATAACACAGGGCAATTTTCCGTATGTTGCACAAATCTGTTTCCAGGCACTCTTGTTCCACTCACGTATTTGCTTCTCTCTGCACCCATCACGTAATTTTCTTTATATGCCAATGGAGCAAGTCCTCTACTTTATTAAATACTCTTTTGGGGAGGCCAGAGTAGAGTGGACTGATATTATTACACCTTCACTCTGATGTATGAATTTTAGAATAAGTAATTATAAAGTTACAAGAGAAGTCCTGCATTGGTTTTCATTGGGATATCCTTACATATTTAGGGAATTTTGCAGAGAATTGCTATCTTTACAATATTATATTTTCACATTACATACATTTATTCAGGTCTTCTCTTATTTCCTTCAATACAGATTTTTAATATATGAAACACTGAACTGAGATACATGTATCCTTGCCAAAAACCA